AACTAAAATTACTAAAGGGCAAGGATTTTGTTAATCTGTTTATAGGACTTAAATATGTTACATTGCCTGATCTTTGAAGATCAGCCACTTTCCAAATTCTCATGGATTTGAGAAGAGGCACACAGCCATGCCTCTAACTCTCTTGATATTCTCAGGTAGATGGTAAACCCAGAGTTGGCTTTTAATCATAGCCCTCCCACTCATTAGTTGTGTGACCTGGAGCAAATGACAGACCCTAGCCAACTTAGGACCCCTTGTGTAAAACCGGAGAAGGAGTAATTAACAGCCACCTTGTGGGGTTGATGAGATGAGGAGTGCAAAGCCTACAGCACCTGGTACCATTGTATTCGACCCTGTCCCTTTCCCTCGCTCCTGCTGTGTTGGACATTGGACTGCATACAGAGACGCACTTCAGAGCAATTTTTAAAGTCTGAGGAAGGTGAGAGTGCACCTACTGGAGGAAGCAAAGACCAGAACTGGAAGTGGTGTGGAAATGTTCCCTAAAAGTACACTTAGTAAATAAATAGATGGAAGATGTTCAACATTGTATGGTTATTAAGGAAATACAAATTAAAATGAGGTGTGCATAAAAAATAAGGAGATTTTGATGTATGTTTAGTGAAATAGACATCACAGATAATTATTGTGGTAGTGAAAAAAGTAGAAAACCTTTCAATGTATGTTTTTTTCTTTTTAATTGAGATACAATTCACATACCATAAAATTCACCCTTTTAATGTGTACAGAATTATGCAAGCATCACCACTATCTGATTTCAGAAACCCTGTACCCATTTAGCAGCTGTTTCTTGTTCTCTCAGCCCTGGGAACACCAATCTGTTTTCTGTCTCTATGGATTTGTCTATTCTGGATATTTCATATAAATCACACAATATGTGATCTCTTGTGTCTGGCTTTTTTCACTTAGCATTGATGGACATTTGGGCTGTTTCTAGCTTTTGGCTTTTGTGACTAGTACTGTTATGAACATATACATGTACATGTATTTGTTTGAGTACCTATTTTCCATTTTGGGGGGTTTATACTTAGGAAATTTCTGGGCCATATGGTAATTCTACATTCTCCTTCATTTTTGAAGCATGTTTTTTTTGCCAGAAACACAAGTCTTGGTTGACTTTTTTTTTTTTTTTTTTTAACTTTCAGCACTTTGAATGTCATCCCATTACCTTCTAGCTGCCATCGTTTCTTTTTTTCTTTTCTTTTTTTTAACTTGTTCATTTATTCATTTATTTAATGAATATTTATCAAGTGTCTGTTATGTGATAGGTTTTTCTGCTTTTGTTTTTGTTTTGTTTTTTGTTTTTAGGTATTTGGGATTGGCTGTCATGGTTTCTGAAGAGATCAGCTGTTACTCTTATTGAGGATGCCTTGTGCTGAATGAGCCTCTTCTCTCTTGCTGCTTTCTCCTTGTCTTTGGCCATTGACAGTTTGATTATGATGTGTGTAGGTCACATCTCTGAGTTTTTCCTACTTGGAATTTGCTAAGCTTTTTAGATGTCCTTCAAAAACTTTGGAAGTTTTTGAAGTTTATTCAGATCTTGCTGCCCCATCTCGCCTTTGTTTCTGGACTTCTCAATATGCACTTGTTGATATACTTGATAATGTCTCACATCTTTGAGGCTGTGTTCATTTCTCTTCTCTCTTTTTTCTTTGTTTTCCTCAGGTTTCATAATCCCAGTTGATCTATTTTCAAGTTTGTTGATTCTTCTGCCTGCTCAAATCTGCTATTAAGCTCCTCTAGCAGATTTTTCATTTTAGTTATTGTATTTTTCAAATCCAAAATTTCTATTTGTTTCTTTTTTTTATAATTTCTAACTCTTTTTTGTTATTTCCTCTTTGGTGACACATTATCTTCGTTCTTTCCTTTAGCTCTTTAGAATGGTTTCTTTTGTTTCTTGAACAAATTTAAAATAGCTGATTTAAGATTTTTGTCTAGTAGGGATTTCTCAGGAACAATTTTTATTAACTCCTTTTTTTCTTGTGTCTGGACCATACTTTTGTTCCTATGCTGTACTGTGATTCTTTGTTGAAAACTGCACCTACAGAATAATATAATGTGGCAATTCTGGACATCAGATTCTCTTCTTCACCCACACTTTCATAGTTTGTTTTTAATTTGGTTAGTGACTTTTGTGAAGTAATTCTTTTTTTTTTTTTTTAAGATTTTATTTATTTGACAGACAGAGACACAGCGAGAGAGGGAACACAAGCAGGGGGAGTGGGAGAGGGAGAAGCAGGCTTCCCGCTGACCAGGGATCCCGATGCGGGGCTCGATCCCAGGACCCTGGGATCATGACCTGAGCCGAAGGCAGATGCTTAACGACTGAGCCACCCAGGCGCCCCATTGTGAAGTAATTCTGAAAGTCATGTGTGACCACTGAAGTCTCTGCTCAGTTAGCTTAGTGGCCAGCTACTGATTAGAGCTTTCGTTAAATGCCTAGAATCAATAAGTCTCCCAATCTTTGCCAAGGATCTCTATGTGCATATTGGGGCATGCTTTCAGTGCTCAGGCAGGTAATTGACAACTCTGCCTTGGCCTTCACTTCCTGTTTGCATAGAATATCAAGGTCAGCCAGAGGTAAGAACTTAGGGCCTTCTCATGTCTTTCCTGACCATGCACAGTGCTTTTGCCTGCAGATAGCCTTCTAGAGTCCCAGGAAACCTCCAAACCTCCCATGGAAAGTTTTCCAAAGCTCCCATGGAAGCTCCTAGCTTTTCCTTCTAAGCTGTTTGGTCAGCCAATGTACCCAAACTGTTATCCTCCCTCAGGCAGCTGTGATAGTAAACAACTGCCTCTGATTGTTTTCAGCAAATGCCCTTGAGGAAAAATAAAGATAGCTTTGCAAGTGGAGTCTTCCAGGAAGGAAGGAAAGGAAAAATAATGACAATTCTCTAGGAAAGGGGCTTTGATGGAACTCAGACCCATTCTGCCCCCTCAGTGGCTGTCAGGCTGCTGGCTTCCATTCTGATAGCAGATGCTGGTTATTAAAGCTACTGCAGAGGGCTCCTGGGTGGCTCAGTTGGTTAAAGCGACTGCCTTCGGCTCAGGTCATGATCCTGGAGTCCCTGGATCGAGTCCCACATCGGGCTCCCTACTCGGCAGGGAGTGTGCTTCTCCCTCTGACCCTCCCCCCTCTCATGTGCTCTCTCTCATTCTCTCTCTCTCAAATAAATAAATAAAAAACCTTTAATAAATAAATAAATAAATAAATAAATAAATAAATAAATAAATAAATAAATCTTAAAAAAAAAAAAGGCTACTGCAGAATTAGGGAGGAGTGGATGGGAATAAGGCAAGTTAAAATGCCACAAAGCTTTTATTCTTACCAAGATTCAGCCATTTTTCTTGAATAAACATTCCACAGATTGCTGCAAACCTTTGGTTAATTTCTAGAGTTCTGAAAAAGTTGCTTCTGATGATTTTTTGCCCGTGTTCTTATTGGTTTTATGGAGAAAAGGCTTTCTGATTGTCCTATTTCCACCATTTTGCTGATTTTTCAATGTATGTTGAGTCTTAGACTTATACCCCATGAATTAATCCCAAAGCAAGGGGAAAAAAAAGCCAATCATGTCCACCAACATGTTTACCAGTATTATTTATAATAGTGAAAAATTCAGAATGTTCTAAATGAGTAACATTAGTGGGGGAAAGCATGTAAATTCTGCGTCACACTATTATGCAGCTGTATAAATGAAAGAGGAGGCTTGGGCAGTAGGATTATAACATGGAAGCTATGACCCTTGGTTCTAGAGTCAGATGGGCTGGGTTAGAGTTTGGCTCTGAGATTTATAGTAAATGACTTGTAGCAAATTAATTCACCTCTCTAGGCCTCAATTTCTCATCTATAAAATGGTGATAGTTCCATAGTGGTGCTGAGAGCTTTCACAGAAGGTGTCCAGGTGATATGCTTGGCTCAGCCATTGCTAACACTTAGAGGATGAATATACAACCCATAATCCTGCCATTGGAGTGCCCTTTCTTCTAACCTTGGTTTTTCCATGCATTGCCAAGGGATCTTTTTTTATTTTGGTTATAGCATACATAAAATTTCACATCCTCCTAGTTTATTTGCCATTATATCACTGTTGTTGCTATCATTCAACAGAAAATTCTTTATGATACATGATAGGATTATGGGTTGTGTATTGTGAAAGATAAATGTATACTCATAGTAAGAATCTCTTCTGGGGCACTTTTGTGGCTCAGTTGGCTAAGCAACCGACTCTTGGGTTTGGCTCAGGTCATGATCTCAGGGTCCTGGGATTGAGCCTTGCATCTGGCTCCATGATCAGCGGGGAGTCTGCTTGAGGATTCTCTCTCCCTCTGCCCCTCTTCCTGCTTGTGCTCTCTCAAAAAATAAGTAAATATTAAAAAAGAAGAAGAAGAAGAGGAAGAATGTCTTCTTAAAGAAGGATGCCCTCTTCAGGAGGGTCCAGGCAGGAATACCCTCCATTAGACACTGGGATGGTGGAAGTATGTTTCCAGGTGCATCTTCAGGGACTTTTTTTTTTTTTTTTTTAAGATTTTATTTATTTATTTGACACAGAGAGAGAGCACAAGCAGGGGGAGCAGCAGGCAAGGGAGAGGGAAAAGCAGGCTCCCCGCTGAGCAGGGGGCCCAATGTTGGGCTCAATTGCAGACCCTGGGATCATGACCTGAGCTGAAGACAGACGCTTAAAGACTGAAGGCGCCCCTTCAGGGATTTTTTGATAAACCAGTATTTCGTGAGTCTGTGCAGGAGGCTGGGATGTATTTACTGGTCTTCTTCAAGGGGGTCTTTTATTCAGAGTCCTGCGAGCTAGGGCTCACTGTTGCCTCCTCAGAGTGGGTTGTGAAAGTAGAGGTTAAAACCTAGGAGCACCCTTTTAAATTTTATCATTCAACCTAAGGGTTTCCCTGTGGGGCCTCCGTTTCCTCATCGGCTGCTCCTCCATGCTGATGATCTCTGTAACTTGGCGGGGCTTGTTTTTCCATTTCAGGTTCCGAGGTGCACCGATTATACCCGTGGCAGCCAAGCCTGGGGGGCCAGAGGCCCCTGAAACAGAAGCTCCACAGGGCATCTCAGAGCTCATTGAGGTACTGTCCACTTGAATCCAGGCTGGCCTCTGGCCCCAGCCCCACTCAGGCCCCCTGTATCCTACTCAGGCCCCTTGTATCCTGCTCAGTATGAGAGGGAGAGAAGGGGGAGGCACCCCAGCAAAAGAGTCTGAGCTGTTCCTTTAACTACCACCACCCCTCCCCCAGGCACATGCATACCTTAGTGTACCCTCCCTCACTTCCCTCCAAGATTTAAACCAAAACAGAAGCAGAGGCCTCAGTCTCTAGCCCAAGGTCCTACAGAGCTGTCCACACCCTTGTAAGTCATTCTTTTTCCTTTCTCTTGTCAAACATCCCCACTCAGACGGAGCAGCTCCTGCCTCCTGGGGCTCCAGGCCATGTCTTCCATTCCAGGCCTTCAGACCGTGCCATTCCCCCGGTGTGTCCCACTGGCTGATGGAGACGGGCCCAGCAGCAGGGCAGTGCTGCTCAGGGCCTCGTGGTCTCCACTAAATAATGGCGCTTCTGAGGCACAGGCTTTTCCTCCAGGCTCAGTGGTAGTAAAAGCAGGGAGGCAGCCCAGCCACCACAGGGTGCCCAGGGCAGCCAGAGGGCAGGGCGGGGGTGGTGGGGTGGTGGTGATGCTGCTGTGAGGATGGCAGTGACCACAGTGTCCCTCAGTCGGAAGGGTGGAGTGGCAACTCTGGGGCTGGACGCTGGGCCCACCACCTGCTCTCTGTGTGGCCTTAGGCACGTGACCTGATCTCTCTTGCCTCTGTTCCCTCAGTTGTAAAGTTGGGGAAAGAACACTAGCTATGGAGTCGGCGTGCAGGTTAGCTGAGGTTAATAGTGTCCTGTGCTCAGAACAGTGCTGTATCAGAGTTTACTATGGCAGCGACGGCACTTATCACATACCAGGAGCTGTGCTGTTCTTTACATGCCTCTCACAGTGATCATGGGCTTTCACAGTGGCGCTGGGAGGCTCACATTATTTATCCCCGCCTTAACCAGGGAAGAGTCTGAGGTTCAGAGAAGTTAAGTAACTTGCCTAAGGTCTCACAGCAAGTATGTGGTGGAGCTGGCATCCAGTCCCAGATCAGTTGGGGTGTCTTTGGGATCCCCCTGCACCTGGACCCACAGAGCCAAGAACAGATGCGATCGTGTGCACTGCCACCATGTCTATGATTACATGGTGCTGCTGCAACTGACTTAGCAAAGCAAACCTTTTCTGGCTGAGGCTTTTGTTACTTTTTCATCTGCTTCAGAGAACAGTGGTCTGGGAGCCTTGGACAGATTTTTTTATTAAAGCAAAATTCGCAAATGCTGCTATGAAGATGTTTGTGTATTCCTTTAAGAAGCCTCTGCATAAATCCCAGGCCAAGCCTGTTTTGAATCTTTAGTCTTTTTTCCAGAAGAATTGTTATCACAAGGCTGAGAGTTTGGAACATTCACTACCAAATACTTTTTGACAGCCTCTTTGCTAACGAAATCCGAAAGCAGCCAAATAGAAGGAATAATGCAGTCTTTACTTTCCTTTGTTTATTGGGAATTAGCTCTGACATCCGCAAGCACGTAGACAGCATGAGGAAAATGGGCCGATGCAGCTGAAGCGCGCGGAAAGTGTTGGCGGAGCAGAAGCAGCAGCCCTGCAGACTGAGGGGGCAACACTGGCCCTTGGCAGACATTAGGTGGTCCCCCGGCTCTGCCTGGGCTTGGAGCCGCCGCCTCACCCCCTCCCGCCCCTCCATACACGGCGGCAGCCCTGCTCACCCAGGGCCTTTGGGCCCCTGTGCTTCTCAGGCCCCATGCCAGCTGCTGGAGATACTTGGAAGGACTCAGGCCCTAGGAGAGAGACAAACAAGCAAATGCTCACAACAGCGTGTTAACGGGGGATGGGGGCGGGGAGCGCAGCCGTGCAGAGGGGGCCGAGAAGCCTTCCCAGGGGCGGCGTCTCCCCGGAGAAGGGGAGGTGAAGCTGGCTGGTAAGCTTGCGGGGCCTGCCAGTGGCTGGTGCCTGCTGTGAGAGGGCACATGGAGGGGGATGAGGCCTCTCCGGTAGCTAGGGGCTAGACGATGACACATCTTAAATCCTGTGGGCTCAGAAGGCTGGGAAGGCCGGTGAGGTCCAATCGATGTGCCCTAGGCTGTCGCGCAGCAGGCCCCGGTGCCGGCCTTTTGGGAGGCCGTTGGTTACCCCAGCGAGAGGAGAGAGGAGGCTTCTCCAGGTGCCCTTTTCCTTCGAACCCAGAGGAGCCGAGGGCACGGCGGCAGTCTGGGCTGCCGTCAGGGAGCCGTCCGCTTCCGAGCGGGGCCAGCTTGCCCAGGGACTGGCCGCCCCTTCTGCCCTGCTCCGGCCTGCCCAGTTCAGCTCCCCTCCCCGGCAGCGTGTGGCACCAGCGTGTGGCATCTCTTTTCTAGCTCCTGACATCCCAGATTTCCATCCCGATGAGAGACCCCTCGGGACCACTCCTCATGTCTGTGGACCACTGTTTCTCCATCAAAGGCCAAGGCACTGTGATGACAGGGACCATCCTCTCAGGCTCCATCAGCCTCGGCGACAGTGTGGAGATTCCCGCCCTCAAGGTCAGTCTTACCTTTTCCTTCGTTTTTGTTTGTCTCTCTAGTGGCGAGGGAGAGGGACGACCCCTTTGCCTCTCTAGCAGCTGAGCCTGCTGGGCCAGCTCCCCAGGGCTGGCCCTCTGGCTCTGCTCCACTCCCTCTTCTCTTCTACCCTGACTGGATTCTAGAATCACCACTCTCCCTAGTTCTCATAACAATACCCATGTATTGGAGGCCTATGATGTGCCGTGATGAGCCTCCCGAGTAGGTGTTCTTTGTAGATGAAGAAATGGAAGCCCTAGAAGGTGTAGTGGGCTCAGGATCACATGGTCAACAAGTGAGGGTGCAGGGTGTACACCCTCCCTTTCTACAAGCCCCATACCTCAGGCTGGCAAGTACACGTGGACTTCTTTCTGGGTACTTTTTGCCTCTCCACAAGAATTTCAAATTAAACACAATTACAATCTTGTGTCTCTCAGAGTCATACAATCTGGAGGATATCCAGATGAGTTTTATACTGGTAGTGACCACTAGTAGGTACCATGTTATCCCTTGGAAGACTAGTGGGCAGCTGCGTGTCTCCCTATTGCCCCCACCTCTGGTAACCACTGGCCTGGCTCTGATCTGAAAGCTCTTTTAGTGACCTTGATAGTTCCCCTCTTCAGTGGGCTTTTCTTGTGGTTTTAGTTTACTGGAGAAGAAACAGAGGCTCCTTGACCACCCTTCTCTTCAGGGGTAATAAAGGGTGGGCAACAAGGGCTAGTTAGAACCAGGCAGATCCTAAGAAGAAATCTGGGGTCCAGGGTAGCTGTCTAGTTCTCAAAGGAACCTGGAGTGCAGGGACATGGAAGCTTGCACTTGGCCCCGTGTACTAAGATGCAGTCACAGCCCTAAGTCAGTGAACTCAGTTTGCCTACGAACTGGGAGTTCTCCCTGGAGGGCTGTGTTGAGACAGATTCTAAGACTGTCTGGCTCACTAGACATATTAGGGTTCTCCTCAAAAACAGAACTAAAAAGACATGTGTATATATGTATACAGAGAGAAAGGGGTGTATTTTAAGGAATTGGCTCACATGATTATGAGGCCCAGCAGGTCCAAAATCCACAGGATAGGCCAGCAAGATGGAGATCCAGGGAAGAGTTGCAGTTCAGGTCTGAAGGCTGTTGGCTGGCAGAATTTCTTCTTCTTCCAAGGAGGTCAGTCTTCCTGTTTAGGCCTTTAACTGATTGGACGGGGTCCACCCACATTATGGAGGGTAATCTCCTTTACTCAGAGTCTGCTCCTCTTAATGTTAATCTCATCCAGAAAATACCCTCACAGAAATATCCAGAATAATGCTCGACCAAACCTGTCAGTACAGTGGCTCAGCCTAGTTGACACATAAAATACACTATCACACTGTGGGGGAGAACCACGATAACAGTGGCTGCCCTGAACAAGGGGAGGGCAAGGGCACCTATATCTTGTGTTGGCCCTTCCAACTTGTGTTGGTCTAGGATAGCCTGGGAGGATGTAGGAAAGGGGCATTTCAGGGATGAGAGGAATGACCAGGGCTTCCCCAGGTAAAGGAGATCTCAGGTTTCAATCACCCCGCTCCACTCATTTTATGGTGCTGTGGTTGTTGCTTCCTTCTGCAGGGCTGGCGTTATTAGGGAAGAGTCTCCTGACCAGGGAGGACCAATCACAAGAAAAGCTTCCCCTATAGCCTGAGACTGGCCAGGTTGCAGGGCTCCCTGGGGTGGCAGCAGGAGTTGAAGGATGAAGCCCTGCCCTTCCGAGTCCCAGGGCCTCCCCTGACATTGGACCCGAATCCTAGGGTCAGAATCCCCTCCTCTACTGGCTGTTGTAGATTCTCCTCTGAAGACCATTAGTCCTGGATAAACACCACTTAAATCAAATCCATGTTGCGCCAGGGACTAAAAGTGTAAATCTTAAAAAAATAAAGCACAAAATTATGAAAATAAACCAAACTTATATATAACAAAGTCAAGATTATTATAGTGCTGCGTGTTAATTCTCAGCTGGAACAGAGAATGAATCAAATGGTAAATTTCTTTGCCTTCTGGGTGCTCCCTGAAGCAGATCCCAGGGGGCCACCCTCATCCAGTATCCCTTCTGGCTTGGGAGAAGATAAGTTTGCAGCCTGGGAGAACAGCTGGAGCAGGAAGGTGGTGTCAGAAGAGGTTGCTGTGGGACATAGACTTTGAAGTGCAGTACCTGAGGGAGGAAAAGGTGTTTGATGATAACATCAGTGGCCACCATGCTTGACCAAAGTATAGGATGGGGGAGGGCCGAGGCAGAAAGAGTCAGCCACATTAAGCAGACAGGGATGTTTGAGTGGGGACATGTTCTGAGGTCTTTGGCCACTCTTTTCTTTTTTTTTAAAGATTTTATTTATTTATTTGACAGAGAGCGAGAGAGGGAACACAGGCAGGGGGAGTGGGAGAGGGAGAAGCAGGCTTCCTGCCGAGCAGGGAGCCCGATGCGGGGCTTGATCCCAGAACTCTGGGATCATGACCTGAGCCGAAGGCAGACGCTTAACCAACTGAGCCACCCAGGCACCCCTTTGGCCACTCATTTCATCCTTATAAAGATGGAACTTTCCCATCAGGGTCCCATTACTGATCTGTAGTACTTGGGCACATGGAAGGTGCTTGGCAAATATAAAATTTAATTCTCCTCTTGCTTTTGTTCACCCATTTCCCCCAGCCTACCTTTTAACTCTCTAGTGCTGTGTTATTCTCTAATTTACTAGGCAGGGAAAGCATAACTGTAAGTAGTGAACTTAAATATGTGACTGAGGAATTTTCCAGTCAAAGTGTAGAAAGTGCTTTCTCCATTGCTGCTTATAGTAAAATGTGAGATGAAAGGAGTGAATTGAAGGTGGAACTAAGGTACCTGCACTTGATTTGGGAGATTCTCGGCCTTTCCAGATTCCCAGTGATGCTAAAAGTAGAAAATTCATTTTGAGAAAGGACACTCTGGAGAAAGGCCAACCGTGATGCTGGATAGCCTTTGCTGTGGAGGTTAGGGATGTGACTCATAGATCCAGTCAAACATCTCAGCAGAAACCAGGACTAGAGATGGGCTTCTCCAGGAAGGATCTGTGGAGAACCCTCAGATCCCCTTGACATACATGAGAGACCCACAAGGTTTTTGAGAATGTTGTATCAGCAGAAACACTGCTAACCTGGGCTGAAAGGGACAAACCCAACGAAATGTTTAAAAAAAAAAAGCAGTTGGACTTCTGGTATTCTAATTGTAGGAAATGGACTGATAGAATTACTCAGCTAACTCATGTTACCTTTCAAGCAAGAGGGAGAATAACTCCAGGGGCAGAGCCATGGACACAAAGACAGAGGCCAGGGAGGCGAGCCCAGAGGCAGGGGCCAGTGAAGCCTGTGGGCCCAGAAGGTGGAGGACCGAGCCACAGAGGGTCATTTTCAGGCCAGGAAAGCTAATGGAAGTTGCTCTGTTGGATTTCAGATTTCAGATTTGCTTGAGTCTAGTGACTTCTGTGTTCCCTTCATTTTTTCTCTTTGCCTATATTTTAGGGTTTTTTTTAAAGATTTTATTTATTTATTTGAGAGAGAGAGCATAAGTGGGAGGGAGAGGCAGAAGGAGAGGGAGAAGCAGGCTCCCAGCTGAGCAGGGAGCCCCACGTGGGGCTTGATCCCAGAACCCTGGGATCATGACCTGAGCCAAAGGCAGACGCTTAACCGACTGAGCCACCCAGGCACGCCCCCCCCCCCCCCGCCCCCGCTGTGTCTATATTTTAAAGCAGAAAACTTGTTTTTGAGTTTCACACATCCACAGGTGGAGAGGCATTTGGCCCCAGGATGGGTCATATCTGTGCCTGATTAGGTGGGTTAAATGATATTTTTGATCTGATGATACTTAGATGAGATTTTGCACTTAGAGTATGCTATAATGGGGTGAGAAATTGGAGATGTTGGGATGGGGTAAAAGTATTTTGCACATGGGATGGATGTGAATGAAGTTTTGGGGACTTGAGGGTGGACGGTAGTGGGTAGAATTGTGACCCACAAAAGCTGTGTCCACCTAGAAGCTCAGAAATGACCTTTGGAATAAGAGTCTTTGTGGATGTAATTAAGGTAAGGATCTCAAAATGAAGTCATCCCGATTAGGGTGGGCTCTTTATTCAGTGATGTGTGTCCAGTGACACAGATTCACAGAGGGAGGGCATATGTGGCCCCAACCCGAGGAATGTCAGTGGCTGCCTGGAGCCACCAGATGCTAGGAGAGAGGTAGGGAAGGAGTTCGTTCTCAGAGACTCCAGAGGGGACCAACCCTGCTGACACATTGGTTTTAGACTTCTGGCCAGCGTGACTTCGAGAGAATACATTTCTGTTGTTTAACGCTACCAAGTTTGGTCATTGGTTAGGGCAGCCCTAAGAAATGAATGTGGATTTTGGATGGAAAGGACTGAAGTCAGAACACGCCTCAAGTCCTTTGCAGTTGTGGGCAGGCCTCTTCACTCCTCTGAGCTTTGACTTTGTCTTGAGGGACAGCCGGGGTGCTGTGAGGGTGACATAAGCTGCTCGCACATCGGCAGTACAGGTTAATGGTAGAGTAGGACTGCTGCGTACTGGTGGCCAGCTCTGTTCCTGCCTTCCTTTGCCGTAACTCGCCCCCAGTAGGCAAGAAAACCTAGGCCCAGGCCTGCTAAGCAACCAGATAGCAGAGCCAGCATTTGAAGTCACTCCTCTGGCTCCAAAGACCAGGCTGTGTCTACTATATCCCCTGCCCCCGGAGCCCCCAAAGAGGTGCCAGGCCCAGTGGCCTTTCCTCTCTGGGGCAGGACCCTCCCACCTCCAGAGCAGCTTTGTAGGTGAGCTGGGCGCTCCACTGAGGCCTCTCGTGGGCCACGGAGCCTATAAAAACACATTTCAGAAGCTCCTGAGGTCCAGAGCTCCTGACCTCCTCTTGCCCCCACTTTCCACTAACCATAATTGGTGACCGGTGCCTATCGGGCACTGGGGACATTGCAGGGTGGCGGCTT